AAGGTGCAAATTTGATGGTCCCGGTAAAAAATGCCATATAAGCTGATTTGCTAGAATAAGAATCAGATCCAGTAAGCTGCCACTGGTGATGATCGGGGATGTCCTGGTGAAGACTAATATCATCAACCATGTCCCAGATTTGCAAGTATTCTATTAAGACCTCTACTGTCAAAGCCCCCTTGATGTCTGTCACCCATCTTCTGTTGTGTAAGGCTTGGGCCACCATTCGTTGCTTCAAGACTCTCTTGGGGATGATCTGAATCAGATTGGGAGCATACTCAGCAATTGTTTTGTCTTGAAGCCAGCGGTTTAACCAGAACTTGGTTGAAGTACCATTGCACACCGTGGTTTGCACAGCACCTTCAAAGAAAGCCTGGGTATTGCGTGGAACCTGTACAGGCAGTCCTGCCCAGAGGCTTTCCTCGTGAATGCTACTTATGGGGGAACATATGATCAACAAAACCAAAATGTGAAGTTCCAGGAAGAATAGATTTGAAAATTAAGACATCCAAAATGGAGTAGCCTTCTTGTACGGGTCCGTTTTTTCCTCTCTTAATGCAATGATACGCAGCTCTCTTGCGTATTCGAGAAAAAAAAAATGGAGTAGCCATGAAAATGACTGCAAGAATTAAGTTATTGAAATATGTAAACATACTATACTGGAGAATATGCAATAGCTATAATGTTTTGGTTTGAAGCATCACTACCTATAACTTTAGAGTAAACAAATACTTCCACTGATCATGAATAAGTGATGTTTTGGATTGCGTGAGTCAACCATTTTAAAATTTTGGTTTCAAATTACTCCTTTTGTGTTGACTGTGGTTATTTGAATATGATACAAGTAGATTTGTCTCATAATGTACTTTCATAAAATAATACTTTTAGTACGTTTATAAATATATTAATTACAACTCAGGCTTTGTTGTTGTTGTATAAATATATTACAACTGACTGTACTTGTGATTGTGAATGATATGTTTTGGAGATGGTGTTGGTGTCCATAATATCACTTAGGAGGGAGTATTTAATAGGAAAGTTTGTTAGACCTATACCTCAATACCAATCTGAGAGTGTTAAGGTGTTGGTGTGTGTTTTGTAAGATTTTTTCTACCCAGTTTTTCTTCTTGTTAATATGATGATATGCAGCTCTCCTGCATGTTTGAGAAAAAAATAATTAATGATAGCACAAATAAATAAAGTAAAAAAATCTTAAATTTAGAACACTGTGTTTGATATGTCATACAATTCTACGATGAATAAAGCATCATGATATTGTTTGAAATATTACTGACTTTAGACTTCTGAATTTGCTGATATATATTCTATTTTTGTTAAATTCCTCTGTACTTCTCATTTTTTAAGTTCATTAGCCCTGATATCATTTTCCTTGTCTTAAACTTTTTATTTTTAGGACTGTAGGAGACTATTGTGTAACCATGATACAAATTTGTAGTTGTGTATTTTTAATATTTTTCCTACTTTTGCAGTGCCACGCAACCTGGGTGTTGTCATTGCCATATGGGCACCGATTGTCATGGTATTTAAATAAATTATTACAAGAGTCCTGATAACTCCGTCTATGTTATCTCAACATAGCAGGTCCCAAGCCCTGGTAAAGGAGGAGGGTTGTGATAGGCGTGGCGAGCCAATGTTAAATCTAGCCATTCAAATGGAGATGAAACCCGAAAAAACCGTTGGAGCGTAACCCTCTTAGCGACGCGCCATATCGGAACCGGGGTATGGTGTTAAATGGGCAAGGGCTAGGTCAGCACCCCCTTGGTGACACGCCGTGTCGTGATCTAGGCATGGTGTCAAGTGAGCAAGGATCGGGTTGTCGCTTCCTTAGTGGCGCGCTACATCGGCGCTCGGGTGTAGTGAAAAATGAGCAAGGGTCTTCACATCTGAGTCGATGGGTGTGAAGGGTAAGGAAGCTAGTCGAACCAACTAGGATCCATTTAGGTAGTTGGAATGTAGGGTCGCTTATAGGTAAGTTAAGAGAATTAGTTAATACCGCGACTAGGAGGCGTGTAAATATATTATGTGTTTAAGAGACTAAACGGAAGGGTCAGAAGGCAAAGGAGGTGGACAATACAAGTTTCAAGCTTTGGTACACAGGGACAGTCGTAAATAGAAATGGAGTAGGAGTTTTGATTGATAAGAGCCTCAACAATGGTGTGGTGGGAGTGAGAAGGTAAGGAGATACGATTATCTTAGTCAAGCTTGTTGTTGGTGATATGGTCTTGAACGTAATTAGTGCGTATACCCCCAAGTAGGCCTCGATGAGAGTGCTAAGAGACAGTTCTCGGAAGACTTAGATGGCCTGATTAGAACTATACCTAGTAGCAAGAAGCTTTTTATAGGAGGAGATCTTAATGGGCATGTAGGTACTACAAGCGCAGGTTTCGAGGCAGTTCATGGAGGTTTTGGGTATGGTAGTAGGAATCAGGAGGGGGAGAAAGTTCTGGACTTTGCGGTAGCTTTTGACCTAATGATAGCCAACACTTTCTTTAGAAAGAGATAATCTCATCTAGTGACCTTCAGTAGCGGACAACACTCTAGCCAGATTGACTTTGTCCTCGCAAGAAGAAAGGACAAACGAGCATGGTTGGGTTGCAAGGTGATACCAAGGGAGTGTGTTGTTTCTCAACATAAGCTTTTGGTGGCAGACTTTCATTTTCAGGTGCGTGCCCGCAGAGATAAACAAGCTAAGATTGAAAGAACAAAGTGGTGGAAACTGAAAGAGAAAACATCAGAGGTATTCAGAGAAATGGTTATCAAAGAGGGCTCTTAGAAGGAAGAAGAAGACATAAACAACATGTGCAAGAAGATAGCAACCAACATTCGAAAGGTGGCTTCAGAGGTGTGTGGAGTAACCAAAGGAAGTGGAGGCGAGACTAAAGATACTTGGTGATGGAACAAGGAAGTCCAAAGGACTATTAAGGAGAAGAAAGAATGCTATAGACGCTTATACCATGATAGGAGTGTGGACAACATAGAGAAGTACAAGGTGGCAAAGAAGACTACAAAGCGAGCTGTAAGTGTGGCAAAGGGTAGAGCGTACGAGGATCTTTACCAACATTTGAGTACGAAGAAAGGAGAGAAGGACAATTATAGGATGGTTAGGGTTCGTGAGAGAAAGACAAGGGACTTCAACCAAGTTAAGTGCATTAAGGATGAAAGGGAGCATCTCTTGGTGAAGGAGGATGAGATCCAACATCGATGGCAAGAGTATTTTGACAAATAGTTCAATGGTGAGAATACAGACACAACCTTTCAGTTGGATGACTCTTTTGATGACATCAAGAGGCACTTTGTGCGGAGAATCCAAGAATCTGAGGTTAGAGAGGCGTTGAAAAGAATGAAAGGAGGTAAGACGATGAGACCGGATGGTATCCTAATCGAGGTGTGGAGATACCTCAGGGACATAGCTATAGTATGGCTAACCAAGCTGTTCAACCATATTTTTCGATCGAACAAGATGCCTGACGAGTGGAGGAGAAGTATATTGGTACCGATCTACAAGAATAAAGGGGATATTCAAAGTTGTGCTAATTACCGGAGAATTAAGTTGATGAGCCATACTATGAAGCTATGGAAGAGAGTTATCGAGCATCGCTTGAGAGCAATAACACCGGTTTCTATGAACCAATTTGGTTTCATGCTCGGAAGGTCAACCATGGAAGCCATTTTCTTAATAAGACAAGTTATGGAGCGGTATAGGGAGAAGAAGAAGGACATACACATGGTTTTTATTGACTTGGAGAAGGCTTATGATAAAATACCAAGGAATGTTATATGGTGGGCTTTGGACAAACATAAAGTCCCAACGAAGTATGTCGGGCTCATTAAGGACATGTACAACAATGTTATGACTAGTGTTCGAACAAGTGATGGAGACACGGATGACTTCCCAATTAGGATAGGACTATATCAAGGGTCAGCTTTGAGCCCTTATCTGTTTGCCTTAGTGATGGATGAGGTCACAAGGGACATACAAAGGGACATCCCTTGGTGTATGCTTTTCGCGGATGATATAGTGCTAGTTGATGAAAGTCGAACAAGAGTGAATCAAAAACTGAAGTTATGGTGGGAGACTTTGGAGTCCAAAGGTTTTAGACTCAGTAGAACTAAAACTGAGTATATGAGATGTGACTTCGGCACTACTACTCGGGAGGAGAAAGATATTAGTTTGGAAGGTCAAGTAGTGCCTAGGAAGGATACCTTTCAATAATTTAGGATCAATGCTACAGAGAGACGGGGATATTGATGAAGATGTTAGCCATAGAATCAAAGCAGGGTGGATGAAGTGGCGCCAAGCATCTGGTGTCCTATATGACAAAAGGGTACCACAGAAGCTAAAAGGCAAGTTTTATAGGACGGCGATTAGACCTGCTATGTGTTATGGTGCAGAATGTTGGCATACGAAAAGATGACATGTTCAACAGATAAGTGTCGCGAAAATGCATATGTTGCGTTGGATTTGTGGTCATACAAGAAGGGATCGAGTTTGGAACGATGATATATGTGATAGATTAGGGGTAGCACCAATTGAAGAAAAGCTTGTCCAACACCGGTTGAGATGGTTTGGACATGTCCAACGGAGACCTCCAGAGGCACCGGTGCGTAGTGGAATCCTAAGCCAGGATAGTAACGTGAAGAGAGGCAGAGGAAGACCGAAGTTGACTTGGGTAGAGGCAATAAAAGGATACTTGAAAGGATGGAATATACCCAAAGACTTAGCCTTAGATAGGAGTGCTTGGAAAACGGTTATTCACGTGCCTGAACCTTGATTGCTTCTGCTGGGTTTCAACTCTAGGCTACCCCAACTTGTTTGGGACTTAAAGGCTTTGTTGTTGTTGTTGTTGTTGAAGAGTCCTGATGGTGTACCATTAGTCATTTCACCTACCCTTGTTACTTGTAGGTTTACTTTATGGACACACAAATATGGTATGCCATTTTTTCCACTATCTTCGGAGGTGTTTCATGTGCCCTAAGTCATGTGGGTGAGGTCAGTGATCTCATTTTGTGATGTGGTGTTTAGAATATGTGAGGTCATTTTTTTTCTCAGGCAGGAGACAGTATGTAAAAAATTTTTGTTACCACTTACCAGATCTTACATTTGCTTTTAATTTAGATACGAACCCTTGGCATGTTGAGGGCCAGATTCAAATCAATTCTAGAAGCTTTCAGTGAATGCAATGCGACAAAACGAGAGGTTTCATACTGCACAAATATTCTTCTTTTCTTTTTTGCACTGTTTTAAATTGTTATTAGCCAGTGCTGCGAGTTGCTGAACAAGTTGCAACCAGTTGTTTGTATTTGACTAATTGTGTCATTCTTAACTGCCAGCAAGCATTTGAGCACAGAAGTTTCTTTTGTATATGGAATTCATTCATCAATTCCTTAAGAGAGGAAGACTTCATTAGTGATAGGTTGGAACTCTAAAAGTTTAGTATGTCAGACCAGTATGTTATTCACCTTAAGGTTAAACAAGATTTGCTTTTATTATCTCAGAGAGAAGGACATGTTGATGGCTCCATCCTATTCAAGCAATTTATCTGTCATTCAGTGGCCACCTTTCCTCCTTGCTAGCAAGGTGAATAATCAACATATTTGACAAAATGACCAAACATGTAAAATTAGGAAACTTATGGACTTTGAATTTACCAGGTACCTGCAGCTGTCCATATGGCCATGAATTCCAAAGAAGGGGATGAGCATGAGCTTATTGAGAAAGTCAAACTTGATCGAGACAGATACAATGCAGTTATAGAATGCTATGAATCCTTGATGATTATACTCAATAGCCTTCTACTAGACTCTAATGATCAGAATTAAAAAAAACAAATCAACTAATTTCAATTTGAATTAACTAACTTCTTAATTGAATTACTCAGATGGTGTTGACATGTGCATTGCAGTATTGTCAATGATATTGATAGAAAAGTGACTTATAGCATGAGAAATAAAACATTCTTGGAAGACTTCGAAATGGTAGAAATCGGCAAAGTAAGTGCTACATTGGCAAAATTGTTACAGCTGCTGGTACGTAGTAATATTCTTAGTGCTATCTTTCTCCATTAATCTCGGTATGTCCTTCATATTTAATATTATGTTTTTGCTTACTATCTTACATTTGTAGAAGAGTGAACCTATTAATGATGTTGAAGAGAGGAAAATTGTTAATGCCTAGCAAGATTTTATAGAAATTACGACGCGTGATTTCATGAAAGATGGACAGAGGTAAATTCTATGACGATTTATATGGTCTTAACAGTTTGAATTAGAACATTCCTCGTAAAATGTGATACTTACTTGTATGGGAAATTGTGGCAGCATTTTGAAAGATGAGAATGAGAGAAAGCAAAGATTCATGAATCTAAATATTAATATGCAGCCTGTTCGGTTGGCTGGTTCGTTTCGTTGCTGGTTCGTGAAGAAGTACTGCTGGCTGGTTTGTGTGAGAGAAAAATACTGTTCCGGCTGGAAATTTATGATCGTTTATGACAAGCCACGGCCAAACGAACAGGCTGATGATAAAGGAAGATTCTTGGAGGGAGAAGGTCTGCAATTACACTGCTTTTTAAAAATTCATGCTAATATTTCTGTCGTACTGAATGGTGTGTTTTGGTTTCAGTTTGTTCGGCTGCACTTATTGTTGACTATGAAGGATTCTGCATTGGATGTTCCAACAAACTTGGATGCTCGCCGTAGGATCACTTTCTTTGCAAACTCGCTTTTTATGAAAATGCCAAGAGCACCGCGTGTGCATGATATGATTTCATTTAGGTGTGTATATTATCATCCGTGGGTTTTATTTTAAGTAGCATAGTTGGTGTGCATATGTACAGAGTAGCTTACTGCACAGTTGTACTGTTATTACACCTTTTGGTCTTTTCAAAAAAGATATTTTTGTTTCATAATTGAACATATTGAAATTTGTGTTTTATAAGAAAAAAAATATCAAAAGTATATTTCCTGTGTAGAAATGTTGTTTATATTATGCTTTCCCTTATTATGCATCTATTTTGAGATGCATCACATTCTAACAAGCTTCCATGTTCAGTGTTCTGACACCATACTACAACGAGGAAGTACTCTATTCATCACATGAACTGAATAGAAAGAATGAAGATGGTATCTCAATTTTGTTCTACCTACAAAAGATCTATCCAGGTGAATTGCTGACTCCTATTTATTTTGTTTCTGAAACAAAATTCATAATATGCTAGACTTAGGTGAAAGTATTACTGAGGACTTGTAGACTAAATTTAATAACTAATTCTTGCCACACTCACTAGATGAATGGAAGAACTTCCTAGAACGTATTGGAGTTGAGCCGGATAATGAAGTGTCAATAAAAGGTTGCATGGATGATATCCGTTTATGGGCATCTTACCGTGGTCAAACGCTTGCCAGAACTGGTAATATGGTTATCCTATCCTTTATTGACCTACCAAACTGTGTATTCTCTACCTATCTTATTTTAACTTGTTATGTATAGTGAGAGGAATGATGTACTATAGACGAGCTCTTGAACTACAATGCTACGAGGATATGATAAATGACCAAGATTATCTATAGAGTTCTTTGAGCATGCACATTTTTATTTATGTGGATGCAATTGAAAATAGTATCCAGTGGTAATTCTATGATGAATTGAATTATCAGGTTATGGCTTAGCTGATTTGGATAGAGCTAAACCTGCAAGGTCCAAGGCCATTGCTGATATTAAATTCACTTATGTTGTCTCCTGTCAACTCTATGGCATGCATAAGGCATCCAAGGATTCTCGAGAAAAAGGTCTCTACGAGAATATCTTAAACCTCATCTTGACGTAAGTTCGACCTTTTTCCGGTTTGAATTATATTTTTGTGTTTTCCTCAGTTTCATATGCAAAAATACAGGTATCCAGCATTGCGCATTGCTTACATAGATTTGAAAGAAGTACAATTACAAAATGGTAAAATAGAGAAACAATATTACTCTGTTCTTGTGAAAGGTGATGATGAGGTACTGACCTTATGTTGCATGAACTTAAATCTTTACCTTCCTTCTGTTCATATCAGTAACCACAATTATATTCATTTTACATTTAGCTTTGACTAGGTTCCTAGCACATGTTGGACCAGTAGGCAATGCAACTATGCTAACATCATAATTTGATTGTGTGTGTGCATGTGTGTGGGTGTGCCTGTGTGTGTGTGTGTGTGTGGTGGTGGTGGTGGTGGAGTGTTGTAGTCTCTTATGTACATTTCTTCTTGTTGCAAAGATGCTTTGAGGAAAAAAAAAGAATTGTAAGGGAAATAACAACTGATTGAATATCCTTCATTCACTGTTCAGTATGTGAGCTGTCCTTCAACTTAAAAGATGCATGCAACAGAATGTAGACCTTGAATAACTGTAGCTTTGTCTCGCTATCATTTAGCCAGAGAACATGATTGCATTAAACTGATTAGTGTTGCTGCCTTGCTGGTGTATTAGAATCGATTTATATTTATTTTGTTGTTAGGAAATCAACAGAAGTTGAAGAAGGCAAGCCTAATAATCAAAAATCATGCCATAATCTTCACTAGAGGAGAAGCACTTCAAGCAATTGACTTGAACCAGGTACACTAATCAATTATGTAATAGGTTTCAAGTTAGCAGACTTCTTACATTTTTCTGCTCTGTAGGATAACTATCTAGAGGAAGCATTTAAAATGAGAAATCTCTTGGAAGAGTTCCTTCTTACACATGGAAAGTCGGAGCCCACCATATTGGGTGTTCGAGAGCATATATTTACAAGAAGGTTGGTTTTTCTATTTCCTACCAATTTATCTAACTTTGTGAGCCTTCATTTTTTTTCTTATAGATTTTTTAATAACTAAATTTGTGTTCTAATGCTAATGTAATTCTGTTGTCACCTGACATGTAGTGTTTCATCCCTCGCCTAGTTTATGTCCAGCCAGGAGACCAGCTTTGTCACTATTGGACAACGTGTTCTTGCCAACCCTCTTAAGTATAGCTCCTCTATCTTTCAAATTTAACAAACTTTCATCTTGTATAACTCTTAGTTGTTACAATGTAGTCGTGGATTGTGATCTTGACAAGGAACTCAATTGTTGAACGTTCCCATGCTGCCCATAAAGGTTTAAGATTTGCTGATATTTACTCATAGCTTTAATGAATAGATTATATGAACAATATTCGATGATGAATAAGCATAGCCCAACCAACTGCAGGACAGGTAGATATGCAATTTGCTAATTGCATCAATAATTATGGTCTTGTCAAGCTGCTCCCATTAAACTTGATGGCTTTGTTAAGCCTTGTTTTAACTAGAGCTTGTTGTGGCTCTATAGCAGGCCCTTCAGCTTCTGCCTGCTGCATTGGTATAGCCTAGCATATTTGTTTGGATAACCACAAATACAATTCAAGCTTCCACATGATCAATTTGATGTACCTCTAGCTACCTTCCATTTGGGTACTTAGTACAAGATTTGTAGCATGTGCACCAACAAATAAGGTTAATATGAAAAAGTGATGTTAATGGTTAAAAGATAAAAAGTGGAAGTTTGGGGGATGAATTCTGTGTTTATTTGTTGTCTTCATTTGACCATGTAGTTGTATTTTACTTTGTGAAATGATTGATTCATAATGTTGCAATTATAGCTTTGCATGTCACTCCAACTGTATCAATACACTATCATAATTAAAATACTTTATCCCAGCAGATGTTTAAAGCGTTGGTGTCTACTAATGAAATGCCATGAGCAAAAAGCAAACATTTTGTTCTGTTACATTGCCCACACCCTTGGAGCTGATCAGTTGTAACTTGTAAAATGTCTAGTCTTTGGGTTATAGTTATCTTGATTTGTAAATTTTAGAGGAAATCATGCTGTGGCTAGATATGTTTTGTAATTATCACACATTGCTACCTGTTGAAGTAATAATTTAACAGTGTTTTCAAATATATGCCAGGTAGAATTTGCACATAAAATAGTGGTATGATGGTATGAGATAATTTGCAGTTCATATGGAGACTTTTGGAGTCTAGGATGTAAATTCTCTGTTTAAATAATTTATGGGAGTGGAAGAATTCAGATGTGGTCGCATTGAATTCTCCTGTTCTAACTTGTTTTGGAGATCCACATTAATATTGGAGTGTAAGTTAACAAATTTCTGATGCAGGGTACGATTCCATTATGGCCATCCTGATGTTTTTGATAGACTCTTTCACCTGACAAGGGATGGCATAAGCAAGGCATCAAAGGTTATCAACCTTAGCGAGGATATATTTGCAGGTTAGTTTTCCTGAGACTGCAAAAACTAAGTTGCTTATTTCTACACACTAAGCTCACAATTGTTATTTGACATCAAAGGGTTCAATTCAACCATGCGTCGAGGAAATGTTACGCACCATGAATACATACAGTTGTGCAAAGGAAGTGATGTTGGAATGAACCAAATATCCAACTTTGAGGCCAAGGTGGCAAACAGAAATGGTGAACAAACACTATGTCGTGATATTTATCGACTAGGACACAGATTTGATTTCTACAGGATGTTGTCTCTGTATTTTACCACAGTTGGCTTCTACTTCAATAGTATGGTATGTGTCTCATACTTGGACTTATCAACTTAGTAACTGACAAATACAACTTCCAGAAAGTAGAAAAGCAGATTGATTCACCCTATAACTTCTTTTTACAAAAGGAAAAAAGATGATATCTGGGCTTTGGAGTTTCAACTTTTGAGCAATCAAATATGGAAAAGTTCTCACTGCTAGAACCATTAGAAAAGTATGTTTTTTGAAAGACTAAAACTGGTACTTTGCACAAGATTAAGCTGGGACTGGAACACAAAAGTATGCTCCCTGATGTTTTATTTATTTACCTCAGATAATTCATATAAAGCTTTGCATGTTGTATACAAAATGATTAATGTGTTTTATTGATGTTTTCTGAAAGCAAGAACCAACAGATTGTGAAGAGTATATTATTTGAAGCACATAGTACACTAATCTTGATGCATTTTATGATCTTCGCTCTAATTTTCATGAGTTGACTTAAACATGTATATTACCTTCAGGTGGCTGTTCTCACAGTTTATGTATTTTTATATGGGAGGACATACCTTGTTTTGAGTGGCTTAGAAAAGTCAATACTCCAAGATCCAAATATCCAAAACATCAAACCGTTTGAAAATGCACTTGCTACTCAATCTGTATTCCAACTTGGTATGTTGCTCGTTCTCCCAATGATGATGGAGATTGGACTGGAGAAAGGATTTGGCAGAGCACTGGCAGAGTTTGTGATCATGCAACTTCAGTTAGCTCCTGTATTCTTCACTTTTTATCTTGGAACAAAGACTCACTACTATGGCAGGACAATACTTCATGGTGGAGCAAAGTATAGAGCTACTGGGAGAGGATTTGTTGTGCGGCATGCGAAGTTCGCTGAGAATTATCGGATGTACTCCCGGAGTCACTTTGTGAAAGCAATGGAGCTGCTTATTCTCTTGGTTGTTTACCTAGCATATGGGAGTTCATACAGAAGCTCAAGTTTGTATCTGTACGTCACAGTTTCGATATGGTTCCTTGTTTTCTGTTGGCTGTTTGCACCTTTTGTCTTCAACCCATCCTGCTTTGAGTGGCACAAGTCTGTTGATGACTAGATTGACTGGTGGAAGTGGATGGGCAATAGAGGTGGTATTGGATTAGCACCTGAGCAAAGTTGGGAGGCTTGGTGGGTGAGTGAACATGACCACCTGAGGAATGCAACAATTCAAAGCTTGCTCTTCGAGTTCATCCTTTCCCTGCGATTCTTGATCTATCAATATGGTATTGTTTACCACTTGCACATAGTGCATGGCAACAAAAGCTTCTTGGTATCGTACTTGCTTATATTGGCCCTTGTTTTAATCTTCATTTTGAAACTCAGTTAACTTAATGCTTGCTTTCTCCAACAAGTTTATGCACTGTCATGGCTGGTTATAGTAGTTGCTCTTGTGTCGCTAAAGGTAACAGTCTGTTTTGTCTTGTAGTGCATCCTATTTTGTTTGATACTGCGTTTACAGCTAGAGTATGCTCCCTTGTTCCAGGTTGTTTCAATGGGAAGAGAGAAGTTTGTTACAAGGTTTCAACTAGTGTTCCGCATCCTCAAGGGCATTGTGTTCCTTGTGCTCATCGGTTTGCTTGTCCTTTTATTTGTTGGTTTTGATCTCGCTGTCGCGAACGTTGGCGCTAGTATCTTGGCATTCATTCCCACTGGCTGGTTTATTCTTCTGGTGAGCCGATGAGCCATTCGTGGGTTCTTCCACACATGTCTTTTTTTAGTTACTTGTGTTTGCCATAGGATACTTATCACTCCTGTTAAGCTTCATTTAGATGTGTTCTGTTTTTAGATGTATTGGCTATTCTCTGATTCATGTTGGTGCCACCTTCTGTTTCTTTAGATTGTGCAATTATGTGGACCTCTGTTTCGGAGGTTGATCATAGATCCACTTCACTTGCTGTGTTGCCCATATGGTACTAGTGGTGCATGCAGAGGTCCTTGCTGTGCCAAGTTCAGGCAGAGGACCGGTGCTGCGCTTAGGAAGATGGGACCATGGGACTCCATCCAGGAGATGGCGAGGATGTACAAGTACACCATGGGGCTCCTCATCTTCCTGCCCATTGTCATGCTGTCGTGGTTCCCCTTTGTCTCTGAGTTCCAGACACGGCTGCTCTTCAACCAGGCCTTCAGCTGGGCAGAACGGTAGTGGCACAAAGAGCGACTGATGCTTTGACTTTGACGGAGTGATCCATTCCGTTGTGCCATGTGGTCTTGTTGAGACCAAAGTTAGTGATCATGTTTTGTTCTGGGGCAATACAAAGATTGGATGATTGGATGTTGGCTATACCAAATTTAGTTTTGAGAATAGTAATAAGGTTAACTATGGTTGGCGGCAATTTGATCGCTTTGTGCACATATAAGAATCTAATAGATGTAACACCCCAGTGTTAAGCTTTGCATTTGGCACCTGCATTTCATGAGCACAAGCATCATCCAAGCATTCATGAGCATGAGCATATGAAATTTCATTTCATTCTTATACCTTATCACATGAAATGTTGATTTTATATATATGCTTATGCTTGTAATGATATGTGACCAATGTATGAAATGGTTGTGAGGGCACCAATACACCTTAGACACATCTGGAATGATAATTGGAACAATGTTTATATTCATGACATAGACCAAATTTGTTTCTAAGTGTTGGTTTCATTTGAAATGCCATTTTCATGATGCTAGTTTGACCAAAGTTCAATAGTACCTTAGAGTGTTTGCATGGCTGTGTGATCTAAATAAAAGTTGTAGTTCACATTAAGGGTAACAAATTTTATTTAAGGGTCATGAGCTAATTCAGTGTCTAACATGGTCAAATAGAGCTCACAAGTATTGACAAAATATTGTTTACAAAACTTGAAATTTCTCAGTCTTGAAGCTAATTTCAGTTTCAATGTAACTCACTTTAGAGCTTTGTAATTTGGAAACCATGACGATTTTGAAAAAACTCCTTTAATCGGTCTTGTAGTACTCATGTAGCTCTACAACTTTCACTAATACCAATTTTGCTAACTCGAACTGGATTAGGAGATATAGAGGCACGAAGTAGCGCTGTTAGTCAACTAAATCGGCACTTAGCCGATTTGAATCAACTGGCCGTCGTGGCCGACCGACGTCAGGCCATGACCGCCGCGTGGAGACCATCCGCCGACGTCGGACTGCACGTTAGGCCGACACGGGCAGCAAAACGGTAGCAACGCGCTCTCCCTCTTCACTCACTCTCACTCGCCTCGCTCTGCCTCTCTCTCGCCCTCACCACGCCCAAACGAAGCACAACACCGCGCCATAGCCGCCGCACCTTCGCCGAGCTTGTAACAGAACCGACCAAATCATAAGAACGTAAGTACAAAAACAATCACCGAAGCGTTCAAATTCCTGTACTTAAGCTCCCATAATCCCAGTAGTCCGGAAATCACGAAGGATTTCAACCAACTCTCGACATACAAACCAAGACCGTACTGATTCAACACAACACATCATCCGTTACAACATTTAACAAGTAGCATTCGGATTACATCCATCAGAGTTCAAATAAATATTACAAACCAAGTTTAAATGCGCGGAAGCAACATAGTTTAGTACATAACTTCATAGTTTCAAATACATTGCCAGGATCAAAGTCATGTCCCACAAAAGCATTATCAGGTACGAGAACTAGTAGAGACCGCGCCCAACGGTCTAGTCTTCATCCCCAGCAGGGAGAAGGCACTACTTGCAGCAACCAAAGAAGAACTGGTCATCTGCAACAGGTGGGAAATAAACCCTGAGTACGAGAAGGTACTCAGCTAGACTTACCCGACAAAAATCAGAAATAAAAGACACCAAGGATCATGCAAGGCTTTTCAGGTGGGCTAGCTTGACACAGTTGCATAAAAGAGCTTATGATTATAGTAACCAATTTAAACTTAGCATTAAACTTATCATTAGTTACCTGTCCACTAGATTAGCACCTATACTAGAGCACTCACTTATTAGGAGCAAACAATATTAACCATAGCAGGTATAATAAGGCTGTCATCATCATATCATCATTTCCGAACCATTAAGTTATTAAGTGCATCTACATTGGAGATAAGCCCGTCAAGTTCTCACTAACTTGGGAGAGACGGCGATTGAATCAATTACAACTTCGGTGAGGGGTATTCCTAACTCTCACCCTGGCATACTTTGCAAGGGTAGCCGTGGGTCACCTTTGGAACATCTCAGGAACCAAATTCGTGGGTTCGATCAGCGCCAGCACTCTTAGGGATTACCCTTCTGCCAGGACGATCAGGACTTTTAAATCACCTGCCCTTGGACTCACGCCTACGGCTCCCTTCCGAGGCGCACTTTATACTTATCGACTCCCGGCCTGAGGTGAGCTACTCGGCTTCGTGGTCGGTCTCCAGACCCAGCCAACTAAGAGAGAGGCATGCGTTCAACATGAACAGGAAAGGCTCCAAGAATCAGTCCTTAAGCGACACAAACGGAGTCACTGCAAACCGGCAAGCCTCCGTCCGGTCTTCATTTCAAATTAAGACTGGTTCTTTTCCACTATAGTAAATATAGCCAACCATGCCACATGTATCTTCCTATATCTCGCGTGTGTGTGAAATCACCCGACTTCTACCGCGTTTAAGCAGGGCTAAGCACTATTCGAACCTGAGCTACATAGGATTTAGGGTAACAATATCTGGACAAGGAATGGGTAACCAATGCAGCAATGGTTTGCATCCAACACCTAAACTTAATGCAACAATATATATATATATTTAACAATAATACTGTAACTGCATTTCGGAAATTAGGAGGCTTAATATGCTCCGGGGCTTGCCTTTCACAAAGTTGCAAGGACGGTGGTCCGGGCACTCAACGGCGACCTCGTTTGGCACTTCTCCTGAAGGCTGCTCCTCCTGAATCTCCGGTATGTCATTTGCTTCACGCGGCTCGCTTCAGTTCCTCAAATTCCAGCGAGGTTACTCCTTCCGGTACACCTATTGCATGCCGATGCAAAAGATAAATATCATGGGTGCATAAGGAATGACATGATGCTCATGATGAATGAATCACGATGAGTGTTTACGAAAACATCCTTTGGACACTCGTTTACCGAGTAATTAGCTCTATTCAAATCACTTTAAGCATGTATCCAACTTAACTTAAATAACAAGAGCAACTTACCTAACTTGTATAACCTAAGATAAATATGCTCATCTTCAGTTAAAGGCCTAACACCTAGGAACATTACCACAAACTTAGAACTAGTAAATACATACTTAAAATTACAGTTAAAGCTTCATATGCAAACAAGTAGTCACTTAATTCAATCATAACCAGAGTTCTATAAATCCAAATGACTTGCAAGAGGACATTCTGGAAAGCTTATGAAATTCTCTACAATTCATTTGTAAACATCAAGGCATGATTCTTAAGTTAACCAAATCAAATTCCAGTAAACCTAGAATCTGTCCCATAATGGCAGGGTTGCTAACTTAATTATTTAATGATGATGCAAAAGCATAATTTGATCAATCCAAGTTTACCAACTTGTTTTCATACCCAAGAAACATTAGAAAGTATAGTGCCAACTTCTAAATAATTTATTTAATATCCTTTTCCAATTTATTTAGTTAATTAGGTGATTTAAGCAATATATAGTAAAACTATTCATAAAAATCTACAAAAATTACAGTAGCTATCTCATGCTGCACATAGACTACCATAAAAATTTCAAAGCCATTGGGCAAACATAACTTGTTATATCCAAAATAACAGGTGACATGTCTAATTTGAGCATAATTAGGAAACCTTATTAAAAAGTGTCAAGCAACGGATTTCCTATTTTTCTAGCATCATTCTAGCATAAGAATAGCACTCATCAAATTTCACCTTCTTTGGATCTATAGAAAAATTATGAAAATTCACACAAGATCCACTCATTAATAAAAGGAAATTCTATAACTTAAAAACTACACATGCACTAGCTCTGAAATTTTAACTAGGGCTTCTAACAAGCAATAATAGACTGCCCACAAAAAGTTCATAATTTTTGGACCACAGGAACTCAAGATAAAATTCAAACAAGTTTGCATGCATCTAAAAACATATTTCAAAGTCCTGTTTAAATCATCAAACAATTCTAAAACATGTGCTCATATAATATTTTTGTTAAATACTAGACATGACCAGGAACTCAACAAAATTAAAACCACATCATTTGGATCTATATACTAGGAGCTACATATTTTTGAATAACAACACAATTCTGTGAAATAATAAAGCAAAAGCAAAATCTGAAAAACAAAACTTCGGCCATACTCGGGCCACCCCAAGGAAATGAGGCCCACGAGTCATCTTATCACGGGCTGCCTAACGTGACGCTGCCCACCGCTGGCCCGCCTGTGGTGACCTCGGCGGTGCCGAGTGGCTAGAGGGAGGGCCAGCGTGTCAGCCGCCAGGGAAGCAGGGAAAGGAGCGGACGGTGGGCTATGACCTATGTAGTTCACCGCCGGTGGCTCCTCCGCGTGAGACCATCTACGCTATGACGTTCACCTTGATCATGCGCATCTAGTGGTGACCTCAATCGGTGCTAGGGTAGTGGCTAGAGGGGTCGGGAAGATCGACACGGCCTGTGGCACAGCGGCGTGGTGGGAGGCGAGGAAATGCAGACGGGCCGGCCCGGCTCCGGACGATGCGACGGCGACGACACTGACCCCTAACGGTGACTCTCTGAGCTTCGATTCGGTGTTCCCTCGAGAGATTGGTGTTCTGACAAATGATACTTTGACAATGATTATTTCCTAATCCGTGGCGATCTAGACTATGCCATAGTTAACAAAGTTGCTCATCTATACGTGAACTACAATTCTTTCCACTGGAGCTCAAGCTAGTTTGGCTCGGGCTCAGGGGAGATACGGCTCCAAACATGGGTACACGAAACTGTACTTCACTTTAAGACTTAGAAAATTTTGCTAAGTATGAAATCAGCATGTACTTCGGACTTGTGGGCCATGTTTGAGCATGTTCTAGCCATTTTCATGAGTTGGTCATAAAACAACTTTTGTTCCTTGATAAATTAGCTACAACTTTTGTAAAGAGTGCACAGCCATGCAAAGTCTCTAGGTTGGACTTTTGAATCAGTCAAACGATGACACTCCAAGGGTCAATTCA